CAGTGCTCGCTCCGGCGTCGGGGCAGCACCAGGTACGCAGGCCCTTTCCGGCCAGCTGCCCAGCCAGGGGAAATCACTGACCTTTCCGCAAAGGTCCCCAAGGCTGCCAGGCACTGTACAAAACACAGGGGGAAATGCCTCCTGTCCCAAAGGGAAATCTGAAGCAGATACCAGGAAGGCCAGAAAGGACGCAGTAAATCTAAAAAGATGTTTGCAGATATTTTTGCAGGCCTTAGAATGGGTTTTAGGAATGTAAACGTTATGCTTTATGAGGGAGAAACTTTAGCCTAATAAGGTAAAAAGAAATGTTGAAGGAAGAAGGGACAGAGGAAGGGGTTACGGTGTTTACCTCTGGCAGCTGAAAGCACAGACCAGCGCCGCTCCCACTCCGATAGCTGCCAGGTAGCAACACCAGAGTATGGGGAACCTTGTCTGCCCAGAGACAGAGTGCCACCATGGGGGTCCATCAGCCTGTCACCTTTGTGTGAATGTGCTCCGTATTAATGATCAGATGTCAGAAGAAGGGCTCTGACCTGAGACTGTTTCTTTGATACTGAACTCCTGTTCCTGTTAAGGTTCCCACCCGCAGCTGCAATGAGGCCCTTGTTTCTTCACAAAATACCCTCTGACACTCAGATGAGATTTATTACTAGATGGTCACCTACTGGTACTGCTTAATGCCCGAGCATTACACAGTGTTAATACCTGCTTCTGGTAGGTCACTGAAAAAAAAATCTCTCCTATCAATTTCTTTTGGGCATGTTTATCATGCACTGTTCTCATCTGTTTGGTTATGCTTCCTATCAACCACTGTCCACGAAGTTCTTTCAAACCCACTACTTTGCAGTGCTGGCTCTGGGGAGCAGGCACCCGAAGTCAGCTTGGCTCCCAGCTCATACCTGTGGCCAGCAGAAGCCCAAGTGCAGTGTGGATGAACCCTATTTCACTTGCACACAGGTGGCAGCCGAGGGGATAGAGGTGCAAAAAACCTTGACTTTCAGGAGAGGTTTGATGTTAATACCTGGTTTCTAGAGAGCAATGTTGCCGCAGGAGCTGAACTGAATCAGAGATCCTGATAAACCCTCCACCATTCATGTCCCACACGGGGGACCAAACCCCTTCAACTCAAACCTTTCTGCTTTAACTAAAGGCTCCCGGCGTGCATGTACACGCGGAAAGGGAAAGGGCAAGACCACGTAGCAGCCACACAGAGGATCTGCCACAGTAAAGTAGAAAGCAGCAAAGGGACAACATCTCCAGCACATACCATCTGCAGCTCAGGACCAGACCCTGCTCTCTCCCAGGCAGCAAAACATGGCAAAAGTTGTCCAAGGTGCTCAGAGCTAAAACTGACAGCTTCCTACACACAGAGGAAGAGCCAGGTGCCCATCAGGGTTTCTGGCTCTCCAACCAACCTGGCTTTGCTTGCCTGAGACACTGGAGAGGCAGAAGCTTGAATACCTCCTGCCCAGCTCAACCCCTGCCCTGCACAGAACATTGCCCTGCCCGATACATACTGCATGCCCTGCAGACCGCAAATATAGGCCTATACAGCTTTTATTACCGTGGATTTGGAGCAACTGCATTAGCTGTGAGAAGGCTATACAGTTCAGCCTGTACAAACAATAATAAAATCTGATAGCAACCGTCATTCCCATGCGCTGCCAAGGCCTTGTTGTGTTCGTCTATGCCCACGTGAAGCCTTTCTCTCCTTCTGCCCTCTCTAAACACAGGCCTGATCCTGCAAAGTGCTAAATGCCTTGCACACGCAGTGACTTCAGGGAGAGTTCATGGTGCTCAAAGCCTTATTAGCCCAGGCTTTATCTGTAGGGGGTGATGAGATCCCCAATGACATCAATCAGCACACCTTCATTAGAGGTAGAGAAGCTATGCTGATTTATGGTAGCTGAGGATTCAGCTTTACACTTCATAACCTTCAGTACACCATCAAATCCATGCTGAATTCTTTGTTCTCCACAGGACTGATTCTACAGCCCCATAAATGCTTCCCCTGTCCCTCTGTCCTTTTTGCAAACAGAATTTCCCTCTCCATATATAACCCCTTTTAAACAACAGGACCAGCACGTCTGGCAAGACTGCTGTGTCAGGCCTGTTTTAGGAGACCCCAAGCTCCTTCACTGCTCAGGCGTCCCTGTAGCTGGCCATGGATTCCAGATTAAACACACAGGTTTATACGTCTGCTGAGACCATGTTATTAACTCAGCCTTTTATGATGCCCTTTGATGCTGTTAATTATTCTTTACTAGCTGTTAATTGTTTTTCCCGGACATCTAGTTTCCGAGTCCCTTAGAATAAAAGAATCATAGAATAGTTTGGGTTGGAAGAGACCTTTAAAAGTCATTTAGTCCAAGCCCCCTGTGATGAGCAAGGACATCTTCAACTAGATCAGGTATTAAAAAAAAAAAAAGCAAACAAAACCAAACCCCCAGTTTACCAAATGCAGCAGAAAAAAGTACTGTGGAAAGTCAGATCTAGCCCAAACAGCTCGGACCCCCAAGTCCCCAGCCTCACATGGCCCAAGCCTGGCTCTGCAGCCCTAGGGTTCTCTATGCCATACCTCTGCCTAGTTACACACCAGGAAATTGCTCTGCTCTCCCAGCATGGTTTAAAAGGACAGTGAGGCCACTTTGACACTGAGAAAAACAAGCTGCTTTTTAATCAAAGTCAAACTCAGGTTGAAAGCCAGTCATCTCTTCCTTTCAGGTGATATCAGGCTGAGTTAAGAACCACCAGTTCAATGCAGAGTAGGTTCACCCTACGTGTCCAGAGCAGCATCTTATAACCGCCCAGTCAGTAGAGGCATACTTGCCCCTTCAAAGGCAACGAGACAAGAGTGCTACGGGGGCTCAGGACAATGCTTGTTTTCATGTGCAAGGAAGCATGAGGCCCATACCACTAGGCAAAAGCAGGAAGAGGTGACTATGCACTAGAGAGGAAGAGGAAGGCTCTTACTTGCAGTCGTGCTTTTCAATTTCAAAATGAGGGTTGAAGTTGAGGATAATCTTCTGGTTGGATTCAGGGGCGTAGATGACCCACTCGCAGTTCTGGTGGGAGGGATAGTCATTGGGGTACTCCGGGGAGGTGATGTACCCAGCATCCTTGGAATTCAGGCGGCCGCCGCATGGCTGAGCTGCAGAGACACAGAAGGGAACAAAGCATTGAAATGGGTTCTGGGCATTGGCCGTGCACAGCCAGTCCCTCCAGGCCATTACTACGGGTGGTGTGATAAAGGCCATTCTCCAGGACGTTGACATCTATTTGATACTTTAATATTTCGTATTAATCTCTGGGCAAGGGCAATTATTCTACACAACAAACCTACTCCTTTTCCCCTGCACCTCCTGCCACACTAACATTCCACATTTCACACAGACCAGAAAGGAGAAATAAATGCTCTTGCCGAGGCAATTACAGAGCCATAAAGTAAGAGACAGATTGATATCAGATCATCTGGAGCCGCCTCGTTTTATCCCTTCTTTTGCCTCCTTTGCAAGCTGTTCTGTGGCGGTCTCCCACAGCTGCCTTGAGAGACACCAACATTTGGGCGCGTACGACCCTCGGTACAGCTGCAGGGGCGCAGAAAGCTTTGCTGGTCCCCAGGAAGGAAACCGAGGCACGGCGGGGCTGGTGGCGAGCCCAGGCCCACCCGCAAGCAGAGCTGAGGACAGCCCTTCTCCGCCTGCTTGTGCTCTCGCTCCCCAACCCCGCCTGCCCGCACCACCCCACCCCGGCAGATTGCCTCCCGCCTCCCAAAACCTTTCAAGCTAACCCAGCCATTGGAACTGCAGACGTGGATAATCAGCAGCGGCGGTTTTGTGGGGCTAGCCCGCAAATGGCTGGCAACGGCTGCGTGGTGAGTGGAGGAAGCACTCTCAGCTTTGGGTTAGAACAGGCCCTAGAGGGTGATTTCATCTTCAAAAAAAACATTTAATCTCATGAACGCTGCAAATCAAATTTATTATTGCATTACTTGCTGGGAGGAAAATCTGCATCACAGGGTCAATTGATAACGCACTACAAATCCCAACAAAGTCCCTTTCTCCACAGGGCCCCTATGGCATGCCTCTTGCTGGCCCGCCACGGCCCCACAGGCTGCCGCCTCTGCCCCCAAAAGACAACCCTC